TACATTTCCGTTTAAATACGTTTGAGTCTTTGAAAGTGTTATTGAAAATTAAAATTTGAATGACAGTTCGACAGTTCAACGAGAGAAGATGATTTCCGCGAAACGATATAGACAGCTTCCTTCCGCTCGGTTCCGCGTGGTTCCTTGAAAAAAGCGTCCGGCCTCCTGCGAATCTACTCATGGATAAAAACCCTGTCTCTGTCCTTGTGTTGCAGAACGTGCATCGCGGAGGGCAGGGACAGTTGGGGGCGCTAACAAGCGCATACGAGATCTCTTCTTTCGCTTCCTCGTCGCCTTCCCCTCTCGCTCTCTCGTTCGCGAGCTCGCTCTCGCAGCAATACCAACGACCGACGACCTATCGGCCGCTCCTCCGCCGGGACGATCAGTTCCAAGTGGTTCAGGCCGTGGAACCTCTGATACCGAGGCAGGCGGAGTCTTCCGCCGACGTCGCGAGCTATCAGGACCAATTCTATCGCACGGCGGCCGACGCGACGTCGCCGACGTCGTCCTCGTATCGTCAACCACCGGCGCGTTCGCGCTCCCCCTTGGTTGAGCCCCAGCAAAATTCGTACGCGAGGCTCCTGCACTTCCAAGGGGATCGTAGAATTGATTCGTTCGTGCGTTACTGACCGATCGAGCGCGCGATCTCTTATGCCTGGGCTTTTTTTTTATTCTACGCGAAAAGATGTTCCTCGTTCCTCTCTTGCGTCACTTCGTTAAAAAAAAAAAAAATCCCGAGAAGTCACACGAGTTTTCGTCTCGAAGTATTCGTTTCGAAGAATTGTTTTCACGGCTGCTTCGAATATTTCATTATTCGTTTGCTACCGGTTATAAGTCACTATTTTGGTGTTATTGTTCGTAACTCGAATTATACGCTGCTTGTACTTTCATTTCCCTTTTCAAGTCACAACGAAGAATTATTGTTTAGTAATTTCTCGTGTGCTTCATTTTTGTAAATTTATTAACGTATTAAATTTTTAATAACTACGGAAGAATGAGGAATCTCTTAGATTTTCTTCTGCTTTAATTAATTTCTTATTCAAAAATCTCACCTGCTATCTGGAGAGTCCTGAATATCTTTTTTACGAGTATGTATATACCTGCGTGGGTGATATATAACATGTAACACATATAATATATATGTATATATACACACATACACACATTGACCGTTCACGCGCGCATGTGTGTATTATATTTTTGATATTTTTGTACTCTCATTTTCTATATATATTATTGTATATGTATTATACATTAAATAAACATATTTTTTACAATTTTGAGCTTTGCATATATCGATCTCAACAAATAACGGTCGTTCACTAACATTATTCTGTTTTTAATCCTCTGTCGTTCTCTCGTAAACGTTAAAATTAAAGTCAAATTTAAAAAAAAATCAATCCATCATTTTTTTTTAAATATAAATAGCTTTTATTGTCAAATGTCAATGCAAATGTTTAATTTTAACCGTTTGCAAGAACGGTTTTATAAAACATCACGATTTACAAAGTTCCATTCGAACGTACGTTGACGACGAGATAAAAATCACACGGTGTGATTTCAGTCGAAACTTAACTGCGAAGTTCTCGAGGACAGCTTAGCTTTCGAGGTGCGATGGGCCGTGGCCGGAGACAGCATTGTCGTCCAGCTCGTCGCGAAACTAGGTAAATATAGCATAAAACAATCGCGTTGCTTCAAACAGCCGCGGCTTCGGTGATGGACGAAGAGATCTTTTAAGAAGCGCCTGTAGCCGAGGAGAGCCGTCCGTGTAAATGCGATATCGCCCGTGAATAAAGCTGAATTGTGTACACAGATGCCGGGCAGTACATGTCCTTCGGATTATCCGCGGACACGGAGACGAGCACGATGGTCGGCGGAGACGTCACTGTGGCCTGGGTCGACAAGCAGACCCTCCAAGGATACGCCGTCGACTACTTCCTGGACGCGAAGTCTCAGTGTTCGGGACGTCGTGGCAATTGTCCAGACAGGCGCATACAGGTAGAGGCCGAGCGACGGATGTGATTAAAAAAAATTTCTTCTTTTTTTTTCTCTCCGAATGCGAAGGACGCGATTCGAAGAACAAATGAAAAATGAAGAATTGGATTAGACTTTTGTTTTATATTATACTTTCTAAAGAAAGTATAATATAACAAAAAGATTATTAATTTCTTTTTAAGCGAATTATATATTTTTTTTATAAAACATTCGATCGTACATCCTTTCTAATACAGGAACTTTTCACTTTCTCTTCTTTCGCATGAAAAATCGATTTGTTATTCCTATTTAGCTTCATTGGTATCACCATAAAAAGTTGGATACTTCATCGATAGAGATGTATCTTCGTATTTCTTTTGCATTTGAAAAACTTTTTAATCTTTAGCGTGAATAATGATGAGCAATCGATTTGACTGTTATTCTACGAGTTATCTGTCATTGCGAAATGACTCGTTCTCCCGCAGGAGAACACGGACTCGGTGCGGCTGTTGAACGCGGCGATGGTGAACGGCTACAGCATCGTTACGTATCAGAGGCCGCTGAAGGCCAGCGACGAGTTGGATCGGCCGATATTTACGAATAGATCGCAGGCCATAATCTGGGCCATCGGGCCGTTAAACGAGCGGCAGGAGGTCAGTTTTCATAGCCACTATCTAAAGACCGACCGGTTCATAGAGTTCGGCAGACCGCCCGCGTGGAATTGCCCGATGCCGGATCAGGAGCAGGCTCCTTCCGAAGATGACGAGGCAGGAAACAAAAATCAGGTAAGCGCAGGAGCGCACGTAGAACGTAATTAATTTGTAAGTAAAAAAAATGATATGGGCTTATCGTTTGCAAGGCAATACGAGGGCATTGATGGTCAAAATTCGAACGAATTAAGGTGTAAACAGTTAATACTGAGAAAAATTTTCGAATTAATTCGCCTTGTTGTAGTTGCGATTTAGACTTGAGGTTTAATTGGGAAAAAATCGTTCTCTATGTATAACAAATGTTATTTTTCGGAAAGTAATGAAATATTAAAATAGCAGCCGACAACGAAAAGGCCGCACCGTATGCCGGCGACTCCTGCACCCGCTCCTACGACCGACGCTTGGGAGATACCAGCGATTGAGTGTAACGAGCCAGACGATGGGGTTTTCTATGCGCAAATGGGACCCACCGGAGGAAAACATGGCTACTCGGCTATTACCGGTAATTAACTGAAACAACTAATATTGTAACATTGGGATATATCGTTTCTTAATTCGAATGTAATAATTTTACTCTACGCTATATCTCATTAAATCTTGTGTCGTTAGACAGAAAAACACTTATTTATTTTTCAGATAAATATTAGAATTCATCAACAATCAGTTAACAACGAATAAAAACAATTTTCAGAAAACGATATTTTCCTAACCGTTTGTAATAAACAAAATCCTTGGAGGTATTCAATAGGGTTTTGTATGATGTTTATCGAGCAATTTTGGAGATTCAAGGCGCATTTAAACTTTCGCGAAACTAATCAAAATTCGCATGGCATTTAACCCGCGAAATGCCCGCGAGAAAGTCCCCGCGCGGATCGCAGGAAAAAAGTCCCCGTCGCGTTTACACACTAAACCGGTCTTCGCTTCACTTTCTCCAGGTCACGTCGGCTGGGGGATCTCCTGGTACATCAATGGATTATTGATACCCGTAATCAATGTGGTGCGAGGTAGGACATACAATTTCGTCATCGAGGCCGGCTCGGACGCTGATATCCCGGCGCGCTATCATCCATTCTACATCACGGACGATCCAATAGGCGGCTATCAGCACAAGACAGCCGAGGAGAAAGCGGTAAATGCGTTCTGCATGCCAATTGCATTTTCAGAAAAAAGAATATCACTTCGCACCTGTCCTTGGTTCACAAGGTACAAAGTAGAGCCGCAAAGTAGATTTCTTATTTCCGCTGTATAGCGAGTGACCGGAAAGAAATCATCGTGTAACTTGGATCGAATCGCATTACCTTAACTGTCTAATTACTTTCATTATCTAAGCAATATTCTTAATGAGGAAACGCGTGAGAGCGTACACGCCGAACGTAGAGGAAACCGGATTAAACGGGAATTATCTGTCGGCTCGTAACAACCGTTTCGCTTTCTGATCTCAACAGAAGGTAAAGATATTCGCCGGGGTGAATCGACAACGAGGGAAGGTCATCCCCACAGGCGTGGGTCGTTTCTGTTTCTGGGCGCCGGATCAGAACCTTAACGCGGACGATTTCGCGACGTTTGGGGGCTATCAGCGCACTCTGACCCTCGAGTGCGACCCTGGCACGCCTGGCGTTGTACAGTGGACACCTGACGAAAACACCCCCGACACAGTGTATTATCAGGTAATCCGATCGCCGAGATGAGTTGCATGAATTCCCGATCAGACATGAAAATTTCGCACGCCATCTCTCTTTCCTTTCCAGTGCTTCTCGCATCGTTACCTAGGCTGGAAGATCAACGTCCTCGACAGCTGCAATGTCACCGAGACGTCGGCGGCGGCCAGTGAGAAGCACGAGGTGTACGCGAAGCCGGGCGGAGATCGTGGCCAGGATCTGGAGTACGGCGCCAGCATTGTACCGAGCAAGGTAACGCCAACGGCGGAGTTCCTTCATCAACAGCATGTTCATCATTCTCATGGCGAATACGGTCACCGTTATCCTCACCATCATTCGGCAACTAACAGCAAGCTAAGCGTCTCGCATCCGCAGCTACTAACGAATGCCAATAACAATTACGATCGCTTGCAATCATCATCATCATCATCATCATTGTCCGAGAACGCGTACGGGGCACGTCCTAAGGACGCGTATCGCGCTGACGAGGAACAACCGCATCAACAGTCGAAGAAGCAGCAGCAACAGGAGAAACAGCAACATCTGTCGAGCGCGACCGCTCACGAACAGTCATCATCTCTTCGCACCGGGACTCATCTCACGGAGCTCGCGCGGGAGATTCAACATACCGCCACTAACCAGGAATTGTCTAACCTCATTGCAGATCACCAGCGACCGTCACTGAATCATGGGACCAGGTTGCCCTACGTAACGGCGGTCGACGACACCCAGCTACCGTTCTCCCGAGCGCCGCATCATTACGCGAGCAATTACCATCACTACGTCCGTCATCAGCTTCCTCCGCCTCCCCATCGTTATTACCGTCAGCCCGAACCGCCGAGGACCCAACTGATGATCATCCGCCGTCCGGTGACATTAACGCGTCATCCGACCATGTTGCAGACATTACAGCAGGCTGCCAATATGATAACCACAGGCGCGCTCTCGTTGCCGTTCCCGTTCTCGTTAACGTCGCCGTCGCCCTCACCGCGGCCGATCCTCATCGAGCGCAAGAAGTCCGTCGTCTATCGGCCCGTCACAGTGACAACGTTGAAGACGACGCCGAGAACGACAGTTGACAAGATCATGTCGCCGCCCGAAAGATTCCTGGCGAAGATCGACGCGAAGCAACGCACCAAGTTCGAGGCGAAGGTAGGATCGGGGTCGGATGTCTCCGAGAATCGCCTGGGTCCCTCCTCCTCGTGGAAGCTTCTGAAACCCGCGCGCAACACCGGCTTCAATCCCGACTCCATCGTCATCGAGAGCGGCTTCAAGCCGATTATCAGAAACGTTGTCGATAGAACGCCCGATGTCGCGCAGAAGAGACTGTCGGTCACATCAGGATCGTGGCAGGATGGGGGACACAGAAAGAACGGGGATTATCGCACGATCGACGAGTTCTCACCGGTCTTCGTGCCGTCGCTGCCAGTGACGACATCCGCGGTTGACAACAGCAGGAAGCGAAAAAAGAAGACATCCCCCGCGCGCTCCCCGCCGCGGCTAGACGACCTCGACGACATGGAGATGGCCGCGGATCTCAGACTGGACACGTACTACCTTCCGCCGATCGGGAGGACGAGGCCGGAGGAGCTGCCGTCACCCTCCTCCTCCGGCGTCCTGATCACTTACGACGGTAAAAGGTTGAGGGACTCCACCGGCTTGGCCAGGTCCATCACCGACATCGAGCATCGTGGCAAGGATCGACTGACCTCGGACATCCTTAGCAGAACGCCGCAGTTCGGTAAGTTCCAGGGCGAGCTGCCGCCACTGATCCCCGGAGAGATGCGGGAAAACAACTCAATCCCACTCGCGTACGGGAAGAAGAACCGTCTGCCGAATGTCGATCCGTCGTCGCGCGAGCTGCCGTCGAAGACGAGTACGAGGCTGAAGCTGGTGGAAAGATCGAAGAGATCGCCGCTGGACGATCGGACGATGTCCAGCGTGGACTTTCAGCGCGGCGACGACCGCGGACGACGAGAACGCGAGCGGATCGAGTCGGTCAACGGTGGGACAACGTGCCTTGGCAACCTCGGATGGGTCGCGATCCTGATCGCGATCGCAGCCCGCCTAATCTGAGAGGTCAGGCCTCGTTTTTATCTCCGACGAAGGCACGCCGTATATCCTCGACGGAGCGCCGGAAGAGATCCGAAGACGTTGATCGTCTTGAACGCGGCTCGCGCGATACAAGATCGTTCGGAAATAATAGACGATATATTCTCCAACTGCGTTAACACCGGGAAAGGCATTACTAACCACTGAGAAAACCGCTGGTTTCCTATACGGTAGTACAATCCGCCTGTCAAGCTCGCGTCTCGCGTCTTGTACCTCGATCCGCACCCTCGCTCATGTTCTTTGCGTAGCGATCATTAGCCGCCAAAACGCAATTACCTTTTTTTTATTATTTCTAGATTTTTGCAAGACTCTGTTAGATGCTGTATTGTTTGGAAAAGAAGTAGAATTTTATGTATTAATCAATATGTGAAGTAGAATTTTATGTATTTATCAATATATCCTCGAGTTTATTTTCCTGATATTAAAATTATACGATCTATGTATCCACATCAGAATAATACAGAAACATATTATATATTATTATTAAAAAAAAATGAATATATATAAAATATATGATATGATAACAGATATATATAGAATATTTCGAAGATCATGTTTAAAAAATGGAAAAATATCTATACAGTATTGAATGCGTTTGACGCAATTCAAATCTATATATATATATATATATATATCTTGATTTATTATGATATTATCGATGCAGAATAACAATTAATGTAATTCTAAAAAAATTATTCGCATTTAAATTAGATGGAAAACACGTGAAAATCCGATCGAGCTTCAAAAATCGTCGGTTTATAGCTGGCGCAAGAGACGTTTGCAGCAACAGGTATTTGTTGAGTTTTGCTGGCATATTTTTGTAAATAAGTTAAAATACTTGTTAATAAAGGTAACCTTGACACATAAGTTCTTAAGTTGTTGTGTGCACTGCCCTTATTTTTAGTTTTAGGTATAAGAAAAGTTCACTCTATAGACTTTATTCTAAAATAAAATTAAATGAAAATCCTGCCTTTATTCTTCGTTTTAATCAAACTGTAATAAAATTTGTTAATAAATGAATAAAGAAATAAATATTGAAAAACTGTAAAATAAATACTAAAACATAATATGCACATATTTTTCAAAATAAAATCATCTAGAAGAATTGTTTTTATTGGAAATATTCATAGAAGATTAATATGGTCAAGCAATGTTTTATTGTATAGAATAAAAAACAAGTCTTACAAAACAATCAACACGCAACTAGTATACACAACGTTAAAATTACAGTACACGAGAATATTCAATAGAAGCCACTTGCCACTAGTTGCGATAAAAAAAAATAGTAATAATTCACGTATTACAATTATTAACAATGCTCGTCATCATCCATTATTTATTGTATGTAAATTTGCGATAATTTGCATTTACAAGATGTCCAGGTTTCATTTAAATGAATGAAAAAAAAAAAAAAATCCTACGTATATAAAAATTATTTTCCAAAGTTTTATCGACTTGGTCGCTACAAAAATATGAGCGTAAAACACATACACGCACTCATGCACATATCCATGGTGCACGCATTTACTACACGTTTAGTATTTACGACCGCAAAATGTATTTTGTAATTTTGTATATGCGACTCTTTTTTTATATTAAGAGAGGATGACTTTAAATTAGCAATTTCCACTAACTAAAATTTTGGGTCAGTCACCGTTAAGATATTGCGCCACATCAGATGCCAAAATGATGACGTTGTGTTATACACAAATGTAATAACGTAGACTTTAGCGATCAATTTTTATATTAAAGATTTTTTTTTCTTGAAAAATCAAAGAAAAATATGAAATAATTCAAATAATTGTGATAGTTTAAATTAAGAAAAATTCACAAAAATAAAAATATTTTTAGCGTGAAATCATAATATAATTCAGAGTGAAAATTTTTTCAAATGTTTTACACAAGCCAATCTTTTCAAATGGGATAATGGTATGTAAAAAGCTTTCTTGTTTTAACAAGCATAATAAAATACAATAATAATAATTAGCGCGACTTGTCATTCACGACATTAGAATCACGTGTAGCGTCAGTGACTGATCCAAAACTTGCAGTGTGTATACATATATGAACGTAATTCGATTAATATTCATAAAATATGATTGACAACGTGTATATATTTACACGATAATATTTACACGTGTATATATTACACGATATGCCATCTCTCATTAATTATACAAATCTAAAGGTTTGAACACTCGGTTAATTATTTCTCTACAGTTTTAGATAATATACAGATTTTTATACACCCAGTCCTGTTATCTCGGTGATAAAATTTATCCTATAAATGGTCACAATTATATCTTCTATACATATAGTATTGCAAGTTATTATTATACTGCACTATTCTGTACGTGCGACAGTCGATTAATTTTATATCTCATCCCGCATGTTCGTAAATACGACCGGATTATTGGATTTTTTTTTTTTATTGTATTATAAGTTTACAAGACATACTGCAATAAATCTCAAGAAAGTGACAGAAAAACATGTTCTCCTGATTAATAGACATTCTAACTTCAGCACATTTCAATTGTCACTTACAAAAGTACTACAAAGAATATTAAAATATGACATTTTTGCATTGGAACATTTTGTGTCGCTTTCGTGAGACGAAAATTTGAACGTACATAAACGTATTTTATTTATTATTTATATAGTTTGAAGTTCATAATATAAATCGGTCAGAAAAACATGTTTTTTCTTAAATATATCATTCTTACGAAGAGTTGCAATCTATAACTCCGAATGATAATCGTTATAATTTTTTTTAAATGCTTTGATAATTACAGATGACATTATTATGGCATTGTATTATCTGACATGTTATATATCAATGTATCACATATATAATACAATTGCCAATTTTTAGTTATTGTAATTTTTTTGAGAGCAGTATCAGACAGGTGTATATGCAGGTATATATGCACAAAGATATGAGAAATAAGGGATGTTCCGCATTTTCTACTATTAGCGACAATTTTATTAGACAAATAAAGATTCTCATGGTTATTACCAAAATATATGTATAATTTGGATTTGCAGCGCCAATGTAGACTGGATAAATAAAAGTGTGATTGGAAAATTTAGATGTTTAGACTGCGCGCTATAATATTCATAATCAGCCATCATATTTTTCATATTAATATAATATCATATATAAGGATATATGTGCACTTGTTATGCACGTGTGACAATTATTTTTGATCAAAAATTTTATCCTTAAGAAAAAATGTCGAGAAAGTACATAATTTTTTGAAGAACTGTGAATTAGAAGGTAACTTTATTTTATTTTTCTTATAAACGACATATAAAAATTCTTTTTTTAATAAAAAAACTGATAACTTGATCAAAGAACTTGCCATTATACAAATAATCATATAGAAATAAAATCCTGCAAGTGAAAAAAAAAAATACAATTACACGAAAAATATAAACATTAGTTATAATAACTATTTTATCAGATGTGTTTCAATAAAGATCATAAAATTACTTCTCTCGTTTAATTAAGAGCAATAATGTTCAACACATCCATATCTTAATAAAATCGAAAGTGTTCGACATCTGTAATCAACAATAATTCTCATAATAAATAGTCAAAAATATTTAATTTTTAATTTATCATTTACATGCTATTGATCACAGATAGATGATAATGAATATTTATATCACTTGTCTGTATTGTGAATTACATTACGGCTTCTCATGTAATAATTAATGTAATGAATAAAAATAATATGATTTTTAAACGAGGATTTTTAACCGATACACATTCGATATATTTTCTAGTGATACAAATAAGATGCTTTAAATTCTTGCTCTAAATTAATATTTATTAATAAAATTAAAAAAAAAGGCTAAATATATTTTGTATGAAAAAATCTATTTAAAGAATTCTCTTTTTCTCTCACGTGATAATATTTAAACAAACAAATATGATTAAAGCTCAGTAATCTAAAAAAATACTTGTCTTCGCAAAATAATTTATGTTAAACAATCGTTTTATTTTTTGATATGAAAATTATATATACTCGTTAGCATGAACCAACTTATAAATGTACATTAATATTATACTTGATGCCTTCCTGCAATGAATATTTCGCTTTATATCTAAAGATCGTGATGGACGTTCAAGTTTTCAACTT